AGAGGAGTTGTCACTACATGGCAACAACTTTTAATCAAGAGCTTGTTTCCTCTTGTTAGAATGAGAGTAAATCTCTTTGAGGGCTTTTTTCCTCCACTTCATCTTGGTTTTGCTTGTTGCTTTTCAAGTGAGCTGTCACATTTTCTAATTATAAAACATTCTGCACTTGCAGCAAAGATTGGGTTATGCAATTTTCTTAATTCAATAGATTGCTTGTCACTGCTGAACAGAAAACCTTTTATTATCTTTCGGTCTTTTTTGCATCTACTTTTCCTAGGTCTTTGACACACTTGGGGAAAAAAAAAAAAGGCAATTTGCATATGCCATTGCATAAGTAAATGCAGTTTGACTTTGGAAGGACATGGAAATGCCTCAGTTATGAACTGGTAATTTCCTTTGAGGAATGCATTTCCATGTTTTGTAGATGTGAAATATATTCCCCTGCAGTTTACCTGCAGTTTACCTGATTTTCATGTTTCCTAAATTTTAAAGTTATCAATTCTATAAGCACTTTGTTCTACAGTTGTCTGACTGCATGTCATAACTTTCTCTCTAATTAGTCTAAATATTCCTCAGACTAGCTAAGGTTGTCTTGAAAGCCTTGTTTCACAAGAAAATAATTGGATGCTCTTTTTTCCTGGAACTCTTTGATGGGATTCACTGATGCCAATTTTTCAATACTCCCTTTTGGCCTGAATGGACTTGAAATAAGCCAAATGGTAGGTTTCTAATTAAAAAATTCAGTTCTTAAAGATAAAACTTGACTGATCTCTGGAAACAAGTGGTATTATATTGACAGCCTCTCTGGCAAAGTTGAAAAATTAAATGGCAAGCAGAAATGAACACAGTGAGCAGTGAAAACCTGTATCACACTTCAGAGTATTCCAGCAGCAAAAGTCAATCCTTATACTAAACAGCCACTAGTCACGTCAACAGCAAGTTCTGCATATTGAGAATATTCTATAAAGCACAGATCTTCCCTCATTAGAAGCTACACTGTTGCACTCAAAAATGACTGGCACAAAACACACTCTGGATGTCTTAATATGGCTAAAAATTATCAGTTTATCTATCAGTGCTTTTATGTTTTTCAATCAAGCCATGATTAATGTAATCATTACTCCAGAAAAGTCTATAGAGATTGCTACCATGTTAAACTTTGGCTGGTTTTTCCACAAGCCATTCTCAATGAGAGGTACTGTCTGCTTTTATTTATATTTTTTGGAAGAATATATTTTGGGCACTCATTTTAAAAAGCTAGATTATTCTTCTGTAATACATGATCTGACAGCTACAGATTTAAGCAAGAACAGAAAGTAGTGGTTACTGATTTGGAGAAAAAAATGTTTTGGTTTGTTGGTTTCTGTTGTTGTTTTTTTTTGTTTGTTTGTTTGTTTTGGGTTTTTTTGTTTTTTTTTTTGTTTTTTTTTTGTGGTTTTTTTGTGTTTGGTTTGTGTTTTTTTGGTTTGTGTTTGGTTTGTGTTTGGTTTGTGTTTGGTTTGTGTTTGGTTTGTGTTTGGTTTGTGTTTGGTTTGTTTGTTTGTTTTGGTTTTTTGTGGTTTGGTTTGTGTTTGGTTTGTGTTTGGTTTGTGTTTGGTTTGTGTTTGGTTTGTGTTTTTTTTTTTTTTTTAAATGTGGGTATTTCCCTCCTGGCTTTCAGTGCTGTAGGGTTTTAGTGATTAGAAGTGTTCTAGTTCTTGAAGCATTCATACATAGCTGGTGCTTTTAATTTAGCTTGCTTTTAATTTAGTTACATTAATTTAATTGAATGTTCATTTATAAAATGTAGAATACAAAGCTCAAGGTTTTTCAGAGTTATTTTTCATTCAATTTCCGCTGCATACTCCTCCAGAAAAGCCAGATCTTAGGATCTTAGCCTGCGTTAGTGTTGCTTTGCACTGTTTCAGTAACAGGCACCGAGTGTTTCTCTGAATACTTTGCTGAATTTTGGAGCACTCCTAGATGAGCTGATGACTACATCGATAGTTGGAACCACACCACTCATTCTACTTGTTCCTGCCTGCCAGTAAGAGAGGTTATTCTGGAAGAAGTAGCTTAGATCTGAAGAACTCAGTAACTTCTTTGTTGGCTTAGTTTACACTGGAGGTTTTTCGTGGCTCATTCCAAGAATGAGAAAATGCGAAGGTATCTCTTTATGTCCATTTCAGTTGTGCCCAGTGATACTCATCCCCAGCTGTGCCTTTGTCTTCAGTACATGTTGCTCTAACCCCCAACTCCTCTTGTTCACTGACTACCAAGATGTTCTGCTAAAATTCAGCCATTTTTAGCAGCTCAGCTGTGCAAGGTTGCTTAGAAACAAGCCTTCTTATCCCCCACATTCTCATGACAGATTTCCTATGCAATAACATCGCTGCATGACACATTTGTATCCAGACACGCGTTCCTTTCCCACTTGAGATTCTCTGAGTAAAGAGTGTTGGTGCTTCATGCAATTCGTAAACAGCATGTGGTAAATCACTGGAGTATTAAATCACTGCCATAGTCAAAATGAGCTGAAGTTTCAAATGTCAGCAGTTCCTCACTCCTGATTTTAGTTATTGATCTTTTCTTCCTGAGAGTAATTTATAATTTTCTTTTTCAGACTGGGTAGCTAGATGGTATTATGACTTTATGGCAATCTCCATTCCCTTCGTTGCTTCTGTATATAATACTTCCTTGCACCATTTGCAAATTTAGATGGTAAGGGCTTTTGGTTGCAATTTCTTTCTCCTTTATATTTTATTTATATTTGTACAAGGCATTTCATATGAACTGGGTATAAAAATAGTAATTAGTAACCAAAATATTTATATTTTTAAAAAAGACACCAATAAGTATCAAAGGTATCAACTTGCAGTTGAAGAGAGTCATTGTCAGCCACTTCATATTTATATATCTCTCTTTGACTGAAGCATTTTTAGCACTGCTTTTACTTCATTTCTCCTCCTCTGTTTGATAACAGTATTGCACTCTTGCCAGAATGGCAATGTGTTGGTCTGGCAAAATGATGAGAAAAGCAAGCTGCCACATCTGGCAAAAAGAATATTTGCTATTGACAAAGACAATAAGGTCCCATCTCAGTCTTCTTGTCTGGTCTCACGCCTGAACCATGTTCAAATTCATTTAAAACTAGTCAGTGCTTTTGTGAACTGTGCAACGTGTCATCAGTGAACCATATAACTTGAAATAATAAATTATTATATGATTTTCATATATTTCTTCCTGTTAATTTTATTTTGTAAATATAAAACTTGTGTTTATTATTTGAACAGCATTTCAAACACTATAAACCAAGAGTATAATTTCTTTAGTGTTCATACTCTGCCAAAATAATGTATTTAGAATGTTTAGAGTGCAAAATTTAACACTAACATAATCCAAACATGATTTAAATATATATTCCGATTTATAGGCCATAAAGGCCTAAACTCTGCAATAAAGAAGTAGTACAGTCAAGACAAAGATGACAAGAAACTTAAGAATGGGATTTAAAATGAGATTTGGAGACAGAGGCGAGCTGTCTACTTGAAAAAAAAGCCAAACTGAAATAAATGAGCTGAAAAGAACTGTAAGAGGATCATAAATTAATAGAAATGAATAGGGCTAGAACATATAACATGTTGCAGGTGAGGATAAAGCATTGCATTGAATAGTGTGAAAGAAAACCAATGAATGAATGGATGATACTGAATAAAAATTCAGTTTTGTTGGTCCTGATTTTGTTACTAGCTTTGAAATTTCAGAAGATATCTTTTGCAAATAATGAGGAAAGAGGTGAGAATATTTGCAACTGCATTTAGTTGAATGATAAAAGAAACAGAAAATAACATTCTTTGCCAAGCTGTTCACAAATTGAGAGAAGTGTTTATAGTATTATTGAAGAAAATGCAAGCAGAGCTGTGCAAAAGTGAAAGGCAGAAACCAAAACATACTAAATCACCACCCTTAAGTATGGCAGCGTGATAGGCAGATGGCTTCAGACTATTTTTTTTTTTCTAATTGTAAGTAATTCTTTTAAAGCTTATTCACACCACAGTAACAATAATAATAACATTTATCCTTAGCACAGTATCCAAGCCACAGGAACCTCCTGTGTTTCGGTTTGTGCCCATTGCCTCTTGTCCTGCGCTGCTGAAAAGATCCTGGCTCCACCTTCTTTGCACCCTCCGTTCAGATTTCTGTACACATTGATGAAACACACACACACACACGCACACCCCGAGGTGAACACTCCCAGCTCTCTCAGCCTTTCCTCGTAGGAGAGATGGCCCAGCCCCTTAATCAGCTTAGTGGCCCTTTGCTGGAAGTTCTTAAGTAGCTCCAGATGTTGTACTGGTGAGCCCAGAAATAGACACAGTACTTCAGATGTGGCCTTATCGATGCTGAAATGAAGATTAGAGGCAAAAGTTGTATACAACTTTTTTTGCCCTCTCTAGCCTTCTTTCTTCCTATGTACAAGAAAAACACTACCAAAATCTAGTTTTTAGATGTGGATAGAATAGGATCAGGAGAAATGCTGGTTTCAACACACTGTAAGCATTTGTTGTTATTCTACTGTTAAAAACATTTTTTCAAGGGGAGAATGTTTGATTTGGTTTTAATTAATTTAACATTTTTAATTACATTTAACACTTTTTTTGCTTCCATGCTTCTCCTTTGAAAAATGTTTTACTCCCTCTTCTTAAGTATACAGTAGACTTACAGTGCATTCCAACACTTCTGTTTGCCACTTTTGCCAACATTTTAGAATTTGTGGAAGCAACTCAGCAACGTACAGTAATGGAAGATGTGGGCTCTTAATACCACAGTATTATTCACTCTTTCTTCATAACCAGAAAGTAACCTCTGTGTATCACGAATTTACTTATTTTACTTATTTATTTAATTTTACTTAAAAAGCCCTTTGTACCCTTAAAGTTTCACTAACTTGTTCAGTCAAATGGTATCACACAGTATGTACATAAACTAGAAAACTGTCTAGAGAGAGGCCATACAATTACCTGGTCTTCAAAGTCAAATTCTGTATAAACAGCATCTCCAGAATCCATAATCAGACTGCAATCAAGTTCATTTGGCCCTAAAATAGGAAAGAAAACTAGATTTCAGAAATGGATTGGAAATTTTCACTTTATATGATGAAACACTATAATATTTCCAGTTGTCTGTACATATGCAAAAACTGTGATCCAAGGAACAATTCACATGCGCTAGAGTATCCTCCTGAATGGTATTCCACTAGCAAAGCCTTTAAAGCATCCATAAAAGCTACCACAGATCTTAATTGGGAATGGTTATACTAAAGGGTGAATTGTATCAGCTAGATTGCAAATTTATTGGACAGAGTGTTCTGTGTGTCATGACTTGCAATTGTAAAGTTGCCACGGGGATTTTGGCTCAGGGAAGAATACAAACAATGTTTAGGAAAGAGAAAGGAAATACTGACTAATTGGTGATTAGCAGATAAGCATCTTGGAGTGATGTTGGTAGGGGACAAAAGCAGCATGCTTCCTGCAGCCACAGTCCCCATTCCTATCCCACTGCTTTCCAGGGTGACAATGTGTCTCTGCCCCTTCTCCCTGTCACCTTCCTGTGGCAGGGTCAGCAAGTCATGCAGCCTTTTGCGCTTGGAATGACAAAATTCAGTTGCTGAGAAGCCTTGACCTGGCGGAGCTTCACAGTTAACTTCACCTGAACTGCTGAAGGTACAGGATAACAGAAACTGGGTTTGGTATTTCAAGAAGTCATGTAGAGGGGTCGTCATTGCTAAATTGGAATGGCAGGATAAAACACTAATCACCTCCCTATATAAACATAGGAAGGGTGTAGTATGGGTAGCATATTCATAGTCTGGTGTTATTGCCCCATTCAGATTATCTCACTCTTGCGCAACAAGGAAGGAAAGTCTCCTGTGTCCTCCAGATGGTGCAGACCTAAACTAAATCCTGCATGTATTCAGCACACATTAAAATGTCAATAGGCGTGTGACTATAGGAGTATTTTTCACAGAATTATTAAAATGAGAATAACAAAAATACTGTAATGACACACAGGGATCTAAAAATTGTAACCAGACAGTAGCCATAGGTGAATCCAATCACTGTCTTCATGTGGCGAGCAACAGGTAACACCAGGGGAAGTACAAGGTGTGCTTTATTTTGTGCCCTCATGTCCCTAGTCAGACAGGATCACTGATGAGAAAGAGAAAACAACTCTGTCCCTCCTGGGTTACAAGTGTCTCTACCTGGTTTGATGTTCCTGCAAGCACTAGCATTGAGAAGATACAGTTTTAAGAATACTGCTGACCTGGAGTTGTTTTCTCACCATCAGAGATGTTTGTATGGGTGGCTGTCTGTAATAAGCACTATCAATAACAGATTTTGCAGTTCAATTTGCGCCAGATGCATTTATGTATTATCTGCTTTTGTTTGCTTTTAAAGTTTACATAGTAATAATCTATGTAGGTGGTGAACTAAACATCACTAAGAGAGAGAACAGAGGAGAGGAACTGGATGTCATGATGACTAAAACCATAACTGCTTGGTAGAGATGATGATTCCAGGGTGTCTTAATTCACAATCCATATTACAATTGCTGCCAAATTTCTCTTTGATGCAACCCTTTGGACTACGTAAGAGATACCAGGGAAAGACTTGGGTCTACCATCTGCTGGTGTTTTTGTTCTCCCTCCCCACCCCACAGTGTTCACATATACTTTATCAGATTGTATAAAAAAAATAACAGAAAAGGATTATACTATTGCTACTGTAGAATGTCACATGTACATATGCAGCATGTTCTCTGGCATATACACTTTATCATCTTCTGAAAATACCTGTCTGTAAAAGATATATGCAACCAAACAGATTTACAACTGCTGAGAGAACCTTAATTTTTTGATTTATTTTACACAGCTGACATCTCACTCTCAACGTTGTATCATTGTTGATAATATAATTTAACTAAGCTTCATTCGTCACCAGCACTGGCCTACCTTGACACATCAATCACTTTTAAAGGCACTTGTGTGCAAGTATTTGATTAACTGTCACTTAACTACCAAGAGCAGTATGTATCCTTAGCTAGAAACGTTAATATGAAATATGGTGCTGCAAACTTAAATGTAAAGGTCAGGCTGAAAATGAACACTCATGCATAATGTATCTTAAGTGATAAAAGCTAAAGTGGTTTTACAATTTTAATATGGTCAAGCTTCTTAAGGCATTTTTTCTTGAATTAGGACACCAGTTTCCTTGGGGAAGCATCACTCCTTTTTAGGGTATATTCAAGGAAGGTAAGGAAAATTGAAAAAGTCTTTTCTGTCTTGGTTCAATGAAAACTAACAAAATCCATAACTGTCTATCGCTGAATAGTATACAGACTTCTCTACCCTTCTCAAATTGCCTGAAGACAAACCTACCAGAGATTAATTGAAGCAAATGGCTACTCCCAGGATAAGATGATGGGACATATAAGAGTATTTCCCTGGTGCAGTATGAATAAGCATGAGTATTTTGCTATCCACCAGCTCTGTTTGGTTTTGGAGGGAGCATATTTTGCTGAGTTTGTACTAAATCTTGCTAAAAGAGGGCTTCTAGGGGAGGACAACAGGCTTGCTAACTAATTAGTACTATGCACGGCAGCAGAAGTGTACCAGATAGCCACGTTGCGAGGTCCTGGGAGTCCATAACCCTGGTGCCAGGCAAAGCTACTGACAAGGCTAAAGCCGAGCGCAGAGTGTTAGAAAGAGTGGGTCATTCAAAACTTAGCTTAGGTTTTCTAAGACTACATTTCAGTCAGCAGCATTCCCTGTAAAACTTGTGGCAATGTTCAGCTCTCAAAGGAGAAACACAAAACGTTGGCTTAAGGAAAAGAGGAGGATCGGTTAAAGCATTTGGAAGCAAACAAGCCCTGCTGTTTTCAATGAGTCTGCAGGCTGCACATCTCTTGCTCTTGACAACAAAACTGATCATAAGTAAGTTTCATTGCCTTTTCTGAGTTGTGTTCTGAGTTTTCTGAGTTCTTGAGAACTAGGCTATAAAAAAATTAATACTTGCTTACTATTAGGAGGAAAGTCTTGCAGTCTGAATTGTCCTAATTCCTTTCAAAGGGATGCCCCCACTCTACCAGATAATCTCAGCTATTCTTTAACTTAAAGCCTTCATGTTCTTGTATGAACCTATTGCAAATGATCTGAGTAGCTGTATCAATTTCAAAAGGGGAAATTCAATAGCTTAAAAAAACCCTAAAAAGCTAAGAAAAGGCATGAAAACTGTACTGCCATGGAGAAGTAGCTTGCAAGCACCTGATCTGGAAAGGTATTCTTATTACTTGAAATGTGCTTCCTCAATTTCAGAGCATGCATACAGTTGAGGTAAGGGAAACCTGGTCATTTTTATGTGCCCTGTGTTTTCCTTAGGGAAAAAAAACAGAGTGGATTTTATTAGGTAGAGTACTGCACAATTAAAAAATAAATCAGTTGGAAGTTTTTATTAAATCCCAGCTAACGGAATAATCAGCTCTCCAGGGAGGAGCAGGCTGCTGAAAAAAGAAACAGCAGATCAGCTAGAATGCATCCCCTTTTTTCACTAGGCTTTGTATCTTGACACTGAAGGCATCATTCATCAAGATTTGTCTTGCGAGGAACCCAGGAGGATCCAATGACACAGCACCAAGGGACAAGCTGAATTAATGGGTGGCTGCAGTTGTACAAGGGTGTGCTGACAAGAGCTGCTCCTGCCAGGTCTGACAGTCAGGGAGAATGACTACCCTGCCTCAGGAGGGGTGCGGGGCTGTACTCAGTTGCTTCCTTCACCATGAGGCTGTGCTTATAAATTTTATGCTGTGTTTTATGTATTATTTGTTGCTCCTAAGTTGAATTGCACAGACTTGTTCATGGAAAGCTCAGAAGATAAGGCTGTTAAGGGCAAGTGTGTGATTCCATCCGCAGAAATGCAACCCAGGACCATCATAGCCATAAATGTCTGGTCCTGTAAAGCATTTCAATGCTCTGGGATTGGAAATGTGTCACTTTCTCTGAAAGTGTGTTCATCCTTAAGTTTTCATGAATGCAAATGTCAAGCATTGCTTTTTCACAGTTCACTAAATTCATTTATACAATGAAACTAAATTGTACTGATCTGTCTAAATTTATCTGCAGTTGATTTAACTTCCCATTACAAGGTAGCTATACCCCATCATGTGAGTTAATTAAGTCTGCTCCTTGGACCGTTTGTGTTTTGGCAAATCAGCTAATGTATTTCCAATCCTTACTTAAATCCGTTACTTATTTCAAATCCTGGTAGCAATTCTATTCAATATGGTTCATTGGCTCAAATATACCCATACTCATATTTTAACAACTATAGTATTTGCACTGTTCAACACTGACTGTCATAAAAGTAATCTAAGATTATCCTGTGAAACATGTTACTTCTCTTAATACCATGTTTAAGCTCAATAAAACAAAAAAGTCTTTTTTATGTTACGGAACATGCTCTGAAGCACCGTCTAATAACTCAATTAATACATGTTGCGTATAAGCACTTGGGCAAGACAAATGCTTAGAAGATAAATTTCAAGTGGAATATAACAGAAATAATTTACTGAAGGACTGATTAGCATTAGAATTATTACATTTTAATGTTGCTCTCAGTAAGCAGCTTCTACTACAAATTTTATTGCAACCTTACACTGCTGAGTTTCATGACAGGTTGTTGCTCTTAGCAACAGTCTTAATACGTTGTAGAAGGCAACAATGAGAAAGTTGTATTTTAATCTATAAAAATATTCAATTGTTTTCTTTCAGCATATATTGTTACACAGTTGGTTACAACTGGATTTTACAGATATAAAATATGAATTAGATCAATGTGGAGACATGAAAATATTAGAAATACTATTTTTACATTAACCACCAGGAATTGAAATATATTGATAAGATGAAAACACAAAAAGGGAGATCAAGACAATGCCGGAATTGCGACCTCTGGAAATTAGATATCTGGTCTTATAGGATCTCTAGAAATCCTACTTCAAATCTCCTTACTATTATTGGTGCTCAGGTTAGGCACCAATTAAGATGATCGTGGCATGGCTTCTGATAAAGCTCATAGCTCTCCAATTATTTTGGTGAGAAATTTATGTAGATTAGACTTTCAAGGGACTGACTTGAACTCATCCAGAATCACAACCAATTTGTGCAAATTGAGCTCTCCAATTATTTTGGTGAGAAATTTATTATGTAGATCAGACTTTCAAGGGACTGACTGGAACTCACCCAGAATCACAACCAGTTTGTGCAAATTCTTTAACTTTTGTCAATCTGTTTGTCAGAGCTAGCACCTTCGTGCCACTTCTTTCCTCTTCTTGTTATTCAGTACTTAGCTTGTTTAATCAGCAAATCCACAGGTAATTATCAATACAATTATATACAGAGGGAATGTCATTTTAGGTTTGGAATCGATCTCTTGCCTCTAGGAATAAGGCTAAGCACAAAAGAGGTAAGCATGCCACTTAATGGAAAAAGTTAGTAGTCTTTATTCTTGTGTGTCTCTTACCTCAAAGCTGCCCACTAGAAAACTGTTTTTTTTTAGCTAATGCACTTTTAATCATTCTCAAACCCACTCCCACATCCCCCGGCCTTGATAATTAATCTTTCTCTCATTTTGGACGTTATCAAAAATAGCCTTATGGGTGGGTTTTGTAGGTTAGCTGGCTTGGAACCTCCTTTCAAATCTTCAAAATGCAACCTAATCTTTCTGTCTGAACTACTGCTCTTTGCAAATGTCTTGTTAGTAGAAAAAAAGTAATCCCCTCTTTGTCAAAAAGAGATAATAGATGTAAAGCTACTACTAGACTTCATTGTGCTTCATCAGTTCCCCCTTCCTTGGCAGCCCCCAGATGACTGTTCATGATTACAAAAAACTGAAGCTACACTGTCTGCTGATTTATGACAAGTGAGTTTTCCTTAAAAGAGAGAGATCAGATACATTATTTTCTCTACTATTCATATCTAATAAAGCTAGGAAAATTTACAGAAAAATATTTCACCAAGAATTTTCTTTTTTTTCTTGTTTTTTTCACAAGACACTTTATGACCCCATCTACCTATATGACTCTCATAGTCTACTTGGAAGGCAGCTGGAGATGTCATCTGTAAAAAGAAGTTGTGAAGTCACCAGCAAACCTTTTGCTGTTCCCCTCAAGCAAATATTTCTGACAGACGTTTGGGGCTTTCAGTGCTTTGATTTTTAGCTTCAGTTCTTTTGCAGTTCTTTGTCCCTCAAAGGCGTTTTCTTTGAAGACATTCAAGCACCAGTAAGCACAAATAATAAATATATAAACAAATAACCCCCCCCAGAACACCTGACACATACACACAACTTCAGAATTAGTACCAACTATTAGGGAGGAAATATGAACATTAATCTCATTGGACTGGTTTTCTGGTGAACACTGAGGTATCACCTGGAACCAAAACAGAGAGCTGACAACTGGAATCAATCAACTTTGAAAGTTTTTGTATTATTGATACAGTTGTTTCATGGACTATCCGTACTATTTTAAGGTGAGCTTGTAGATAAACAAGATGTTAGGTGAGTTTGTATGAAGTTTCTAAGTGTAAAGAGATTTTTTTTTTTGCCCTTGGTTGTGCGAATGTTTGAGGTCGAGCAAGACTTTGCTACAGTAGATATATCAATACTAGAGGAATATGAAAAAGGCATCCCACCAATGTCAAATGCAGTACAAAAAAAGTGGTTCTTTAAATCTTATATTAACTCACCTGCTGCAGCTTCTTTGTTTGCAAATAGTTTATTGTCAACTGCCGAACTTATGTCAAAGAACACTTCTTCTTCATCTCTGTCTGCGTCAAACTATGTTAAAAAAAAAGAAGTTGGCAATCAGACACTGGTTACTACTTGGCTGAACGTCAATGTGTAACACGACTTCTCACCCCAAGCCTTCCTAATAAGAACCTTTCTATTTTTCTGTGTGCTGTCCATTGCTTTAGGTATGAATCATTTTAATTTTGACTGAAAACTAAACTAATTTTGTAAACCATTTTTCCTATTTTTTAATATCTTGTCAGGAACAGAAGCTACAGTAAAACTTGTTATCAGAGAAGGAAGTTTCAAAGCAGAAAGTAAAACTAGTAATGCATATTACTTTTTCAACCACTGATGGATGAAAAAAATGACCCTGATATGTGATTAATTTGTCACTTCTTTTCAGGGATTTTCAGGGATTAGCATAACTATTTAATTTGCAAGAATTTTTCAGCAACCTCTGAATTGTCTGAAACCAATTTTGGTGATGTGTACATAGGTACGATTTCTTCAAGTAGTTGAGCAAAATTCTTAGGAAAAAGTAAAGTATTTCTGGAAGTCCCCAATTATACAGAAAAGAAAGCTTTCCTTGCTCTCGCACTAGCAGAAAGTGTATTGGCTCAGTGATAAATTAATAAAATCAGGAAAGCAAAGCTCCTGTAAAATGGCACATAATTAATTTCTTACCACTTTAAACTTTACTTATTCTATCTTTTGCTTGAATTCTGATACTGATTCTCTGAAGATTTTTCTCAGCTCTGTCTGACAGGTTCTTTTTATGGCCAGGTGACATGATTGACAGTGGGTTTGTGTTTTTTCTTATCATATTTATCAAGCTTCATTAGTTTAGATCATCACTTATTGAGGCTTTCTTTGGAAAAAAATTGGACATTCTATTACTGATGCTCTGGATTTTTTATTATTTCTTGAATTGAGGTCAGGTGCACTCTATGGAGAAAGGGCATACTGTAACCTCAAGTTACAGGAGCAAGCAAACAATGGTCACATTAGATGGCTGTCATTTAGTGCATGCCCCCCTGTATAAGAGTCATTATTTTCAATCATTCTGTATATTCAGTGTAATATGGTTTAGGACGCAAAATGAACCCCACGGCAAAAAGCATTACACAGTGATTACAAGGTCATGAACTTCAGTGGGCTCTTTCTTCCATGTCCTAAACTGTTGAGAATCTTTTCAGATGTCTCACCAATACCTGCCTGTCTCATGGTAAAAATAATATGCAGGGAAAAGCCTTGGAGAGGGAAGTTCAAACCCTCCTAAGAACTTTGATGCAGAAGCTAATATTTGTAGAGTTGAAGCTGTTTTCCAAATTTCTATCTCAGAACATAGCATGATACTTAATGAGTTAATTTTAGAGAGATACTGTCTAACACCCACCATTGCAAATCAGTATCACTCTTTTCATTATGCCTTATGATAACTTATGTATTATCTATATTACTTAAGCTGTTCTGTCACTGGTAACAAAATTCGCTTTCTTATGGAATTTTCCATCAGTACCTCAAGGTAACCCAGAGGCAAATACCAGTCCAAGAATATTTAGAGTGGCAGATGTCAGAAATAGTTCAAAAATAGGGAAAGAACATCAAAGATCCAAAGAATGGTTCTACACACTGGGTCTGTGCGAATGAAACAAAATGTGAGCTTGTGGGAGGCCAGAGTATACCAGAGAGAGGCAACCGTTGTAGAAAGTTTGCTGCTTAAAAAAGCTTAATTCTCAACAGCTGTCAGAGTGCTCAAATCTTAATTGGTATTAGTCCTTTTTTAAATCTTTAAGGTCTTAATATTTAGCTTCATGCTCAGCTCTGCCCTAGAGTTCATTTTCATTGTGAATAGAGCTACTATAATTATCAATACATGGAATTTTCTGAGTGGTTCTTGGAATAGAGTTTCTGGCTCCGACCCTGAGGACTACTGAAAAAGTTCATCCTGTGATGCAGCACAGTTGTCCATCTGTCTGCACAGACATTTATCTGTTCTTGAGTAGTTCTTTTGCCTTTCAGTGCTAATCAAAATTCAAAGCATTATTTTTTATTTATAGAGCAGAAATTTCTTTGTATTTACCTATTAGAAGGACTACATCTTAACTTGTGTCAAAACTGAGGCTTGTGGAAGAACAGGTCTTAAATTAAACTGTTTGGCTACTGTTGGGCAATTTATTACCAAGTGCCAAGAGCAGCTTTGGAATTTCCTTGTTGATAAGAAAAAAATACCGAGTTCTGTGAATTCTTCTGCACTGCTCTGTCTCCAAGGAAGTGTGGGGATATGTTTTTCTTCTGTCACTTCTCAGCAAAAAATGTACGCGTTTCATTAGATATGCCAGGGAAGACATACCATATAATATGATATTTGTGGGTATGTGTGTGCATAAAAACCAGCAAATTGTAATCAGGTTGTGTCTGATCATTACTGTGTAGGTCACACCACTCTTGGAGAGATGGCAGGCTTGCTTTCTCATTAGTAGCATTCCTCTGAATAATCCAGTTTACCATGAAAAAACATATGATCAATCTCAAAACGTTCTGAAGGTTCCAAGAATTTGAAACATCAACTTCCCCCATTCAAAGAACACCAGCTGTGCTTCAGTACTCTGAAAAATCTGGTCTTTGTAATGAAAGCCTATATTGTCACCCAAAGAAAACCAATTATTTGAAGCTTGCACGTAGACTCAGTTTTCCCCTCAGAAAATGAGAACTGTAATACCCTGAGCCACGGGAAGGCAAGGTAGCTTTCATAGAGAAAACATTTTTGAAAGAAACCAAGTAACCGAATGAGTTCTGTACTTCATTGAATTGCTAAACATTTTAAAATGAAATCCTTTGATAATGATTGGAGGCTTGAATAAAACATAAAAGGTACTCAAACAACTATTCACAAAGAACAAACAGCAGTAAAACTTGTATTTTTAGCAGAACATGTCTAAATCAATAGGTTGCTTTCCTTACTGAAAACAAATCCCTATTTGCTTCAAAACACACTTCCCTGCAACTAAATTATCTACTGGTATCTATATGGATGTCTCAGTTTAATTATAGTCAAGGCCTACGTTTTATAGAAATATAATTTTATTAAACATGCCACTGAAAGCATTTGCAATACACAAGACACATTAATTGTACTGTTATCCGAATTGATATGATCTTTACCGGTGATGCAGGAAGAAGCAAAGTATCTCTTCCCTGTGACTTCAGCGGGGTCTGAGGTCTGAACCCACTCTACAGGGTTTCCTTCAATGAGACACTAACAGGGGTTTTGTAGTTCACTGTCTCTGTTGTGCTGGGGAGGACCTCAGCAGACAGGAGTCACATTACTTCAAGAAACCAGCCTAAATCTCAGACCCAAGAAAGGTCTCACAAACCTTTCTGAAGTACATTTGGGGGTTGTATTTGGTAAGAATCTCATCAAATCCTTCCCCTGCCCAGCACATACATGCAGAAGCTGTGGGGCAGCAATCTCCACATCACTTCTATGAGTGGTCCTGCCTCCAAGATTTATGTCCCTGTGATGAACAAAAGCAGGAGAGGCTTTTTCTACCCTCTCTCTGTTTAGTCAGTTCAATAATGGTGTTTCTGTGGGAGTAAGAGGTAATACAGCATCATTTGGGAGGATGTGAATTTACCACACCCACACACTGTAGTTTATTCCAGCTTCACGTGAACACTGTTGATTTGGACAATTTGATGCTGGTGGAGTTTTATATATAAAAATGATGGAAAATATTTTCTAGATCTTCTGCCTTGTAAATATTTTTTCTAGGGAAAGGAGGTTGTACTTGCTGCTCTCAGAAAATGGTTAGTGTTTCTAAATAAGCACCCAACAAATCCTAACCAATAGAAGAAGCTTCACAGAAAAATTGTCTGAGTTGTTGAACATTGTGAATCTCACTGGTCGATGATGAGAAATGCAGGTTTGGTAATATCACATATTTAGTTAAAGAAAAAAGTGCACAGCTCTTTCCTCACACCTACTGGGGGGAAGCATCAAGGAAATTTCAGTTAACTAGAATTTTGGGTGAGGCTGAAGTCACTCAGCCTGGCACTGCCCATTACAGACTGATTCACCTCCAATGACACTCTTGGTCCTTGCAGGTGGCTTATCCAAAATTACAGCCCCAAAACATGGGGACCTCATAACCGCCTTTCAAATTGGAGTACAGGAAAACTAGAAAGAAATCTGGTTGCAGCAGGCTTGCAGGGACCTCTTGTTCGTGCACTTTGAAATAAAGTCAGAAGTAGCGAAAGGATTAAAAATACCCAAGCAAATAGGTGTAGTTAAATAGTATTTGCAACAGTGGATGAAAATATCCTCTATTTTAGAGCATGATGGATGTCAATGAAAAGAAAATAAACTGTGTCCAAATTAAAATAACAACATTGGGCTAATTGCTCTATGGCAATGGTCCCATCCACCTCAAAATCAAATAGAATTACAGGAATTGGATGACGAATGCTCTATTTGCTCTCTTTATAGGCAAAGACTCAAACAATAACTGCAATTCATAGATGTCTGAGTCTTTTCTCAGTCATTGAAACATATATTATGTCACTTGAAATGCCTAAAATATTGTACATTAAAGGTACAGGTGATTCGATTATTGGACCCACTTGCTGCATATGTGCTCTTTTGACCTCTTGGTTGTGCCTTGGTTAATTGTCACTGGTCTTCAAGAGCAGGAGTGAGTACAGAGTGTGAAGCCTCTGAACCATTGCAGTCAGTGCTGGTCAGGAGATAAACCAGCGCTGCTTTGAGTTGTTCTTTTAAGTCACATCCTCAGCTCTGGACTTTTCTGTGGTGTTTCACTGATCTTTGGCTGTGGAAAATAAGCTATCAGACCTCCAGACGTGTAAATAGGATTGGTTTTTTTTTTTCTCAGACAAAGCAACTTCTGAAGGGAGATTTATAGTGAATAATTAAGTGAACAGGAGTTGGGCTGTGCTGCTTAGTCAGAGGGTCTAATTATATGTGTGAACAGGAATGCTGAATCTAAGACAAGTGACAATGTAACATCGTAGTGTTTGGTGGAGGG